TGTGTGTGTGTGTGTGTGTGTGTGTGTGTGTGTGTGTGTGTGTGTGTGTGTGTGCGCGCGCGCGCGCAGCTCCAGCATCATTAATGTCCCAGCTGCAGCTCTAGCCATTTCAGATCCGCATTTTTTATCAAACTTTTCTCGTCTTGTCGCATCCCTCTGGTGAGATGCATCAGGACATCCCTCTGGTTCACCATGTGCCCCCCCACATCCTCCCCACCCTCCCCCCGGCGCTGCAGACCGACGCTGCGCCGCAGTGACGCAGCTGCAGGAGGAAAAACAAGCAGCTGAACCGAACGGGAGCCTCGCTGCTGCTGAGCACATGGACCGCAGCCAGGATGCTGTGGCTTGTTTCACTCATTTCAAAGGAAATAAAAAAAACTGCAGACAGACTTACAGGTCTGCAGAGTTGTAAAGTAACTAAGTACAAATACTTCTTTACTATACTTAAGTAGAATTTTAGGGTATCTTTAMTTGAGTAATATTATTTTCAGCCTACGTTTCACTTCTACTTCTTACATTTTCACACAATAATCTGTACTTTCTACTCCTTACATTAAAAGAAAATGCAAGAAGTAGAAAGTTATTACTTTTATTTTTGCTTGTTTTCATTTCAGCTTGTTATTGTAAAAAAAATAAATACTATCCATATGAATTGTACCTCCTAGATAGAGTGAATTTATTGTATTTTAATTGTATATAAATTTATTTTATTTTTTAAAGAAGTTAAAAAATAGTTGTGGTTGAAAGAGCAGTATAAACAAATAAAATTCTGATACCGTATTAGTTTGTACACAAACAAATCATGTCACACTCCAGCAGGACATAATTATTAAAAGAAAAGGACTGCACTTAAGAAGTATTTGTATTTCATGAATTATATTACTGCATTTGGCTGCAGTCCTCAGATAGATTTTCATTTTGGGGAAAAGGTTTGGACAGCCTTGATATATGTATATAAACTGAAACAGCTGGACTAGTGCATCCTAAATTTAACATGAATTAATTATTTTAATGCGACAGTCATTTCTGCAGTTTTATTGGGAGGTCACCTCCTAATAAATGTCCTTACAGAAAATCTAACTGCTCATTTACTTTTAATATTTAAGTACAAAAAATATCTGATCTTTAAGACTTTTACCCAAGTAATATTCTTACAGGAGACTAACTTTTACCAAAGTATCGTGATGCATCTCAGTAATCCAGGTAAAAAATCAAAAAGAAAAAAATTGTATAGGTCCTCTGGACGGGTTCTTCTCTAATGAAACGTTTCATCTCTCCTCCAAGAGACTTCTTCAGTCTGAGAGTTTCAGGCAAAATTCAGCCATTTTTTACATCCTCTCGTGTGAACTTAATATATTCATCCACAGAGTTGATGTGATCAGTGAAAAGTTGGACTTCCTGGGCTTTAATTTTAACCCAGGTGTCGTCAACATATCTGAACCAATGGCTCGGTGGCACCCCTGAAAAGGACATCAAAGCTCTCCTGATGTCCTTTCCAATCACCAGTCCAGTATACATCGGGGAAACAAAGCAACCACTGTTCAAAAGAATGTCCCAACACAGACGAGCTACATCTAATGGCCAGAACTCTGCAGTTTTCACTCAT